TATCTTAGACCAAACCTTTCCAGAGATACTTGTGCTAGTGTGCAACTACCATCTCCTCTCCAGCAGAAATTAACCAGCAATCAATCATTAAAGCCATAAATCTAAAAGAAAAAATTGCCAAAAGTTATTTTAGCAGCTCCAAAGTCTAATTTCTACTGTGAAAATAAAATTAATAACTCTGGGATTGTGGACCGTTTGAGGACAAATCTACCTAATATTTGTGATGCTGTATTCTGATCCAAAGGGTTAGAAAAGCTTTTAAACAGTTCTGTCTATTTTTGCAAAAAATAAATAAATAAAAAATCACCATGCTATGCCATGTCCTCCAACTAGCTGCAGCGTCTGAACACCTCACTGAAGATCAGCATGTCCTCAAACTGAGTTCACCGAGCTGCTCATAACTCCATTACTGATGTAGTCAATAACGATGTATGAAGTCATGTGTCTGTCCCGGTTTGCTGCTCTGGCAGCAAGGATTATTGTGCTGTTACAGGAGGGTAACGTTGGGTTAGCATTGTCTTCACAAACACCAGCTAGTAACTTGCACTGGCTAACGTTAGCTGAGTTAGCCTCTCTCTCTCTGACATTAACGATGGGGTTAATATCACGGGAACAGACTGTCATTGTGGTTACGCGTTAGCCGGGACTTAACTCAAACGACCCCGTGTGTGTGTGTCTTTGAGGTCCACCGGCTGACCTGCTCACAGCCGAAGTTACCAGACTGCCAAAAAGGGACGTGTAGCTAATGCTAGCTGCTCTTAAAATATCCAACTGACCTTCCCTGTAATAGCAACGAACACGAGTAAATGGCCACTGTACGCTTGCCAAAACGCGACATATCATGTACTTTAATACCACGACAATAGTCTTCTAAGCAAACCTTACTGGCATTAAATCCAATGCCTGGGTTTGTGTTTATTTTGGTTACCTACCATTTTTACACCCGCTGTTTGACCAGTTTGGTAGTCCGACTGTCGTTCATTATACGCATGCGCGGAAGTCGCCGGATTGCATAAAAAAGATGAGGTCTGCGGTAAACGCTCCGTTTGATATTTGCATTATTTGCGCTTATTTGATTAGAAATTATGGGCTTGTGCCCGTATTTGTCGCGCAAAGAGAGTTAAAACGACACTTTCAAATACGATGTTATACCAAGTGTAATACACATACAGGAAAACTCCCTCAAAACTGCATTCAGCACTGTTAAAAACAAAATTCAACCCCACCCTTCACCCGCTACAGACACACACTTGTTGACTGCCAACATCCTCACACACCATCCGCAACACAATACACACTGTAAAACACAGCATCAGTAATCCTCCTTCACTGCACATCACACCTGCCTTGATCTGTTAGTGGCAGACATATGAACAGCTGACCGAAGAAATGTATTTAAACTGCATTAAAACACCGACTGTTGTAGACATCCAAGATTGTTAGATGACCCAAAGCCTCAAGAAAAAAAAAAAAAAAAGTCAGAGCAGCCTTTCTAAAATGTCATTGCAGGGTAAGCACAGGTGTAATAACATTCATCATGGCACTGCTCCATTTAGAAGGGTCAGGGTTTATTGTGCTTGCCAGCTCACTAGAACGACTGATAGACTAAATATAACAGGGTTATAATTGAGTGAGTTTAACACTTACATGCTTATTGTGGTATGAGATGTCAAAGTGGTTATTGTGAAAAAGACCTATTTTGATAGCAACCATTAATGAATATGGCTATATTAGCAAGAAAAAATCTAAAGCATTGTTGTAATGCTTTGGAAATGTATTGGGTTATGCTTACAGTGTTTACTGAATAAGATAACTAGCTTTGGAATAGTAAAGTTTAAATATTTTTAATACAAGTCGCATCCCAGACCTATTGAATCAAGAAATCACGTAAAAAAAAACCCTGTGTGACAAAGTAAAGTAGGGTAAAAGACCTCAAACATCAAAACATCATGCAACCATTTAAAGAAACTCCAGAACAGATAAGAAACAAATTCAGTGACATCCATCAGTCTGGAAGGGGTTACACGGTAATTTCTAGAGCTTTAGGACTCCAATGAACCATGGTGAGAGCCATTATGCATAAAAGAAGAAAACCTGGAACAGTGGCAAGCCTTCCCAGAAGTAGCCGGCCTACCAAATTTACTCCAAGACCGCATTAACGACTCATCTAGGAGGTTACAAAATAATCCAGGACAACCTCTAAAGAACTGCTGGCCTCACTTGTCTCAGTTAAGGTTTATGATTCAACAGTAAGATTTGCATAACTTCAACATTCAACATCAAGGTGCTTTACATTGTAAAGACCCTAAAATAATAAAGAGAAACCTCAAAAATCAAAGGACCCCCTTCGAGCAAGTGCTTGGTGAGAGTGGGAAGGAAAACACACAGTCTTGTAGGAATGAAGCCTAAAGAGGAACTAATTACTAAAGTTAATTCAGAAAAATTCCAAGGAGAAAACCACTGCTGACCTAAAAGACCACAAAGGCTAGTCTCACATTTGCCAAAAAAACCCCATCTTGATGATCCCTAAGACTTTTTGGAAAATATTCTGTGGACTGACAAGACAAAAGTTCCACTTATTGGAATGTTTGAGTCCCATTACATCTGACATAAAACTAATACAAGATTTCAAAAAAAGGATATCAGAGGATTGGTTTATGCATCAGGACAACAATCCACCCCCCAAACAGACAGACAGACAGACAGACAGACAAACAAACAAACAAACAAACAAACAAACAAACAAACAAACAAACAAACAAACAAAAAAGACAACATCCAAAAACGTTTTTGGAGCAACCTAGTCAAAGTCCGGGCTTAAAGCAGATTGAGATGCTTTGTGATGACCTTAAACATGCCATTAATGCTCTGAAACCCTCCAACGTTGCTGAATTAAAACAATTCCGTAAAGAACACCAAGGCCTTGGTGTTCCCCCGGAAAAGGTGGAAAAAGTAACTAGGGAAAGGGAGTTTTGCATAGGCTGTTGCCCCCACAACCTGGTGCCAGATACACATAAGAAAATGAATGGATGGATGGATGGATGGATGGATGGATGGATGAATCTATGGATGGAGAAAGTTTACCTTGCCCAGCTTTTCAACAGTTACAAATACACAACTCAAATGATAATTCAAGCACAGAAAGGCAAACGATTAAACCCTTATGAGCTAAGAAAAACATTTGTGATTACTTTATTTAAAAAATTGTATGGTAACAGGGTTAAATGAGAGTAACAGGCCTGCACAAGATAACAGGGTTGAACGGATATACTACTTTTATTTGTAGATTATGTCATACATCTGACAAATAAATACTCAGGACTACACAGACATGTTGTATAATAATATCTTATATATTTTTTAACATGTTTGTAATGTTTGTTTTATATGTACAGTAACAGGATTGCAAATCAGTGCTGATATTAGAGTTTTCTCAGAAAAGGATGTAAGCTGACAGTTGACTGTGAAAGTCTAGAATAAATATAGAGATATAAACAAAGGAATTAAACTTTTAAATTAATTTCTATTTTGGTAATATAAATATCAAGGTTTGCATTGGTTGGAATGACACAATCTAGTCAGAAAAGACTGGAAAAATACAAAATATATCACAGAGAACTGACCTTTGATCTAACCACGGTGTTAACATGCTGCTCAATTGTGTCACTGTTTGGCCTCTTTTTCCCCCCAGCCTAAATAGGTTTCAGTAACAAGGCTGCACATAGGGTTGCAGTGCGTAATGACTCTTCTTTAATATATGTTGATGTTTGCATGTTGTAAGTTGATGATGAACAAAATCAAAACAAGAAAAAAAGTGGATTTATAACTATTGTAACTGTTATAAATTAGTTATTGAGAATTTGGCAAGAGAAAAAAAATGCTATTTTTGATAGTTCTCAAGAGCCAGTAAAGGTTTTTGATGCGGGCGACATGGGCGGTCGCCCGGGGCGGCATCGTGGTGGGGGGCGGCATCACGGGCATCGGCAAAAAATTAAAAAATAATTGCTCGTATTCATGCAGCCCCGACATCATGCCAGCGCATATTGGCAATGGCATAGGCACTGATCGGTTTTCTATCGCCCATTTGATGCACCGTAAAAAAAAAAAATCCTAAAAAAACTGTAATATTCCAGCAGCAGGGGTGCCAAAATAATACCATAAAATAACAGAAAATAACTTTCTCATGAAAATACGGTTATTTTCAGTAATGACAATAGTTTGTTGCCCTAATTTTACATGAGATTTTGCCTTTTTTAAGTGCTGTTAAACATTAAATTAGGAACATTTTAATGTGATTAAACAAAGAAATCATCTATAAAAAAGGTCAATGAATGCAGCAATATGAATAATAATACTTAAATGTACAGAAATATACAGTTAACAGTTGGTTTAAATAATAATGGATTGCTTTCATATAGTGCTTTTTGAGACCCTCAAAGCGCTTTACAATTCCACTTTATAATTCCGCCAGAGGGGCGCCAGAGGGAGTGTTCGACCAGGGCGCCAAAACAGGCTAGGACCGCCACTGCCAAGAGCTATTTTGTATTTAAATAATATTTTGGAATTGGAACCACCTTCACACTACAAATGTATGTTGTAGTCCTTTGTGAGTGGATTGTATTCAAATTCATATGTGTGTGTGTGTGGAGTGGGGGCAAAGAAAATCTCCTGCATTTGAATGATGGCTCACTAACAGTGACAAAAGTGAGTGTTAAGACCTCTCCAGTGCACTTGCTACCACTGTTATTTGCACCAAATCAGGTGAAATTGTTTCACAATGACTCATGGCTTCCTAACTGAACAGATTTGCATCCCTGGAGATTAACTAACTTTGTGTTAAACCTTCGATATTCTGATCCCTTACTTATTTCACGTCTTGTCATATTAACACATTTTTTATGGCGCACTCCTGTGCAGCAGACGGCGCTGCATGTATCACGAGGGCTCTGGTATCCACCAATCCAAAGAGCTCCAGGTTGTGGGCATGAACTATTTTGACCGCTTTGCTTTCGTCTCATTCGTGCTGTCCAATCAAGCTCCACTAAAGCGAGGCACCGCCAAGATCAGATTGTGAGAGACGCTGCTGTAGCAAGGCTAACGGAAAGTCGATAGGAAAGGCTAGCGAGCAATCTGTTAACCTGTAAGGTGCACCGGTAAGCAGCATCTACTCAACTGCAGCTTGTCACTCAGCTGACGCATATGATAGCACTGACGTTAAATATCTGTATGACCTTCTATTGTTTGTTAAGTATATAGAAAAAAATGTTACCGCCAATAAATACAAAGCTAACCGTCGAGGTAAACTTATAGCTAATTCTGGGGTTGTCGATGACAGCTGGGGTTTAGCTTCTGTGCTAACCCACTAGCTAGCCAGTGGGCTAACAAAGCGCTGAAGCACCTACTTCTTGAAGTGCAATCGCGAGCTAGCTCAGTGTTAAAATAAACATTTTGATAATAAAGACGAGTACTTTTTGCATTGCATTTAATATATCCTCTTTCAAGTCGCTAACTTACGGCATGTAGCTGACGGTAACGAAGTGAAGAGCAAAGCTAGTTTTTGCGGTTCATGATGATTGTAATCGACTTACAGTAATGTACTTGTATTGGATCCATATGCAACAGTTCGTTTGGAAGCGAACCTTATAAAAACTAATATTTAAGTTTTAGACACCTCAAAATGGCCACCTTTCTGTTAATTTGGCGTCAGGAAAGTATTCGCAAGGGTCTTCGTGTTTTATTAAGAACAAATAAGAAAGGTTACGCGATTAAATGCTTGGAATAATAATAATAATGCTGATACTACTAATAAGTCGAGTGTTTAAATGTAACTTCCAGACAACAAAGTGTGTTATTAATTAGTTAGCTATGTGTGTTGATACTGGTTACTACACAGGCAAAAGGAGGTCAGCGGTTGACAATAAAACGCAATCAACTCACGGAGTATATGCGGCTACCTGCAACTGGTATTTTAGAAGTTGTGGTTAACTGTGGCAAAAAATTTTATCGTCTCGATAAAATCCACCTTGCTGGCATCGATGGCAAACTTTGTTTACTTTTTCAGTCTCTTTGACTTGGAAACGATCACTCTTTGTACAGCTAGCACACAGCAAGTTATGCAAATCCTGACATGGCTGGTTGTATTAAAAAATAAGCTTAAAAGGGAAATACTCAATGTGAATACATTATTTCGTACTTCAAATGAACTATATAATTGTTAAAAAGTATATCGACATTTCTTAGTTTGTTTCCTGTTTAGTGGGGATTTAGACCTCCTCTTCCTCCATTCTCAAATGCCAACAACAACAGCCGTCGAGGAGACAGAGTGCACTCGTAAGCGCATACAGTCACCACAGTTAAGCTCATTCATCGTGCGAAAGGCACGTTCACTATTTTAAGTGTTAACCCATGCTGAAGTGTAGCTGGGATCTGCAGCACGGAACCAATAATCGCAACATTTCTACATGAATCGTCTCAGAGCGTGCAGGAGCTAACTAGTAAGCTAAGACCAGCAAGCTGGGTCTACCGCTAGCTGTTAGCAGCTAGCTGCGTCCAACAAAAGATTGTTCGTGCTAATCGACATATAATATGACCGCTGTTACAGTATCATGCAGCCACAGTGCCCGGAGCCATATAGTGCTGTCTCTGTTGCGACATTATCAGTTTAGCGCTGTTATGATAAAGTTCGCTTGTTTGCGTGACCTGTAGCAGAAGTTGGACGGTGCCTCTCCTCCGGACGTGCTCGGTACCTGAAGTAGGCCTTGTGCACACTTAGCGTAGTAAAAGTTGTGAGCATCAAGGGATGGCTTAATATGGTTTCCTGCATATATAGAACATTTAAAAGTACTGCTCGGTGGCTCGTTCACGTGAGATTGGTGTGAGAAGCGTACATGTCTGCGCATTTTGGCTAATAAAACAAACAGTGACGCTAACATTGGTGATGTAGTTAGCTTTCTACAATGTGCTCGTAGCAAGCAGACCAGATGGGCCTTACTTCAGAAATAAGTTTAAATTTCCTCTCCAAAACAAAGTAAAACACAGCTTAGCTTGGGAAACAGTATTGGGAAATATGATGTTTGGGTCAAACTGCAATTTTGTCATTATTTAAGTAATAGTTTGTTCTCTTTCTGTTTGCAGGGGTCTGAATAGTGACTGGCCGAGGAAAAGTCTTTTTAACCCAAAGCATACCTCTTTTCGGTCCTTTGGGATCATGGCTAAAGATGTAAGTAAATATATACATGGTTTCATGAGAAACATCAGGCTATTTCTGCTGTGTCACCTAAGTACTGTAGCTAATTTTGGGTCCTTCAATTTACTGGCTGCACTTAGTCTTGTAGTGTTTTCTTTTCTTTTTCTTTTTAAATAGACTGTGGGATTTGTTTAGTGACTTCATAGTGGAGTGGTTTATACATTTGCCTTACAAAAGATTCCCTGTTAGGTCCTGGAAGGTGACACAGTTCCATTGAATCAGGAAGGGCATCCGGCGTTAAAACTGTGGCAAATCAAACTTGTACAACTCGCTGCGGTGACCCTTCATAAATAAGGCATCAGCCAAAAGTAGCTTCTACTGTATGGAGTTTAACTTGACTCGTCTTCAATTCTGTGGTTTCTGCAGTAAATTAAGTTGTTCTCTTTTACAGGCTGGTCTAATTGAAACCAATGGAGAGCTGAAGGTTTTTATCGATCAGAATCTGAGCCCTAGTAAAGGTATATTTTGTGTATATTTTACAGAAATTGTGCATATGTAATATGCAGGGCTTTCTAAGCAGCATGTACAGTCTAGTTTAAGAGGCAGCAGGGCTGTTTGTTGGTAGGTGGACAATAGGGGGCAATGGTGTTTCATTCAAAAGCTTCCCTCATTAATGATCTTCTCATGTCTCCTATAAGGTGTCCTGTCCTTGGTTACTGTCCAGCCCTCAGCTGCCCCTGTGGCCAAACAGCTACTACCCAAAACCCTTGGGCCATCCAATGTGAACGTCGCTACACACATGCAAAATGTGCCACACATGGTGAGTGAGGTCCTGTTAAGTCAGCATTATGTGGTTTCTTTTCTCTTAAGGCGTAGAAACCCTCAGCAAATGTAAAGAATGCTTTGGCTCCGCTAAACATTGGGTAGATGAATTTTTGTAGGGTTTTACTCGGCTTTATATGAATGTTGTATAAGCCCCCTCCATTATCATTGTGAGGTGACCGGGGAGAGGGTAGCTGGAGGCAGTTGATCCTAAGCTCATCAACTCTACAGTCAGCAGGATTACACCCATCATCCCATTATGTACAAGGAATGTATACATAACGGAAATCAGCTTAGATATCACCTTACTAAAGGAATAGATCACCCGTCTTCAAGATGCCTCACATTGCTGTTAGGGATGCAGTTTTTTAAAGCTGTGTCTTTAACTGTCATCAGCCCAATTCAGCATCAAGTTTTTATTAGTCATCATAAACAACTGAAATTCTAAAAATGTCTTATTTCTCCCTTAAAGCTGTATTCAAACAATCGCCAATGATGATTTTCATGACAAACCAAATATTTTGCGTAAAAAGTCAAATTCTGTCAAATGAAATAACTGTCATTTAACTTTACTGCTTCACCTGTCAGCTATCTAATGCAAGGCCAAATGTATTTAAATCATTCCTTATTGCACTGAGGGTAGTTATAGCTTTCTGCAAGGTATCCTCAAAATGACAGAAATCAGCAGAAGATGTGCGTCCTAAAGAGAGTGAACAGAGTCCCACCTTGAGTTTGTTCAGTGTGAATTGGTTCTTGTAGTTAAACATAATATATTTAAGTGTGAGGCTTTAGAAGAAATATTACATGTCAAGATTTGAGTACATGAGGTTTTAGAGGAGAAACTCATTGTTGATGACAACAAAAGCATGACTAACAATGCTGATATCAGTGTGTGTTCTTTCTCTTCTATGTGGTCTTCCTGTAGGTGATTGGAACACCCCAGAGGCCTACCGTATCAAACACCATTTTGGTAAACAGTCCACACACACCCAGTTCCCAGTTCCTCACACAGAGTCAACCAGCCGATGCCTCTCCTTGGTCATCAGGGTAAGGCTTCAAATTGCCCTTAAGATTTTAAGCTTGGGACATTATTGGTGAGCTCTGTCCAGATTAAGCTAAGCATTTTAGAATGGGTCAAGTCTGATAGCTATTCATAGCAATAAAAAAAAAAAGTGAATGTCAGATCACATCAGTGTGTTTGTGTTCATAGTGACGTGGGCTCGTTTGTTTTTTATGTTTGCAGAAAACGTGGGAAGAAAGGGGAAAAGAATGGGAAGGGCTTGAGGCATTTTTCCATGAAGGTGTGTGAGAAGGTGCAGAAGAAAGGAGTGACCACGTACAATGAAGTGGCAGATGAACTGGTGGCAGAATTCAGCTCATCAGACAACCACATGTCACCGAATGACTCAGTAAGCACTGCCGCTGTGTGATACTGTCTCAGAGTGATGCAGACTGATTACTCCTGATGAAGATATTTTAATTCTAAGCTATATTTTATTAATGTTTTGAATTGCGTCTTTTTTTCTCTCATTTCAGCATGTGTATGACCAGAAGAACATTCGACGACGTGTTTATGATGCACTTAACGTGCTCATGGCCATGAACATTATTTCTAAAGAGAAAAAAGAAATCAAGTGGATTGGTCTACCCACCAACTCAGCGCAAGAGTGCCAAAACCTAGAGGTAGAAACGCACACCGAAGACAGTCATTCCTGCTTTTGCTACCAGTGTTAAAACGCTTTTATTTCAACTGTAGGTGGAGAGACAAAGGCGGCTGGAGAGGATTAAGCAGAAACAATCACAGCTTCAGGAGCTCATACTGCAGGTTGGATTTGAGTGCTGGTACTTGTGTGATCAAAGGAGGGCTACAATTATAGTCTTTATAGTGGTAATTGTGCATCAGGGCTGCAGAAGACGCTTCATAAATACCCCACAAACTGATTGTCCTCTTTAGATTGCTTTTGTGTGTGTTTTGTCTCTTTTTGTGATGCTGGATCATAATGAATCAGTAATAAACAGAAGTTCTTCTCATTGAATCTCTATATATGCAAGTAGCACATACAAAATGGCAACTTAAAATTGTTACAATGTAAAGGAAAAAATTAGCATTTGAAAAAAAAAGCATAAATATATCCAAGAGTGCTGTATTGCTACACTCTTAGTTCTTTGCAGCTGTTTGAGTTTTAACTTGTCTTTGATCTTGTCTTACAGCAAATAGCTTTTAAGAACCTGGTTCAGAGGAATAGGCAGACAGAGCAGCAGGCAAACAGACCTCCACCTCCCAACTCCATCATCCACCTTCCTTTCATTATTGTCAACACCAGCAAGAAAACTGTCATCGACTGCAGCATCTCTAATGACAAGTGTGTGATCATCAGCTCTGTTATTTAAAATGCTGGCACTTGGAATAATTTGTAACTGAGGGGGGGATTATCCAAAAAGTGGGGGAGGTGTTCATATTTTCTTCGAGGCACTGGTAGTGCTTCACCGGGCTGTATTTATTAGGGCTTTAATAAATAGTTGCGGAACAACATGTACTTGACAACAGCCCGTCAGCCACATAAGCTGCTTTATTTTTTCTAGCCATGTGACATGATTGTATGTAATACCTTGGAGCTACATAGGTGGGAAACTCAACTATAATTGCAGGTTAATTGTGTTCTGGTTCTTGGCAAGTAAGCTAAAAGAGGCTTATAAGCCTTCTGTCAGTGCAAAGCATTATAGTGTGGTATCAAGATGTGCATTATAACAATAACTAGAATCTCCTCATTTTTAACTCAACATTTCAGTGTATATAGGATTAGTGGCTGACTTGAAGAAGTAAATATGAGGCCTTCCCACATGCAGCTAAACCAGGGGTGTCCCAACTCCAGGTCTCAAGGGCTGGTGTCCTGCAGGTTTTAGATATCACCCTGGGTCAGGACACCTAAATCAACTGATTAGTTCATTACCAGCCTCTGGAGAACTTCAAGACATGCTGAGGAGGTAATTTCGTCATTTTAAATCAGCTGTGTTGGATCAAGGACTCATCTAAAACATGCAGGAGACTGACCCTTGAGCCCTGGAGTTCGACACCCCTGATCTAAACTAATCCCCACTTTGTAGATGAACTTTATTTTGAAAGGAATATTAGTAGCTGTCCTCAACGGGCTAACTAAAATACTGCAGAACATTTGGCTAATTTCTTCTTAGCCAAATGTGTTGAAAATGGGACCCATGTTCTATTCTATTCTGTATGCTGTCCTTGATTTGGTACCCATGATCCTCTTTTAAATTAGAACGAACACTTGTTTGGATAATTGACCCTTTCCCATTTTTCCACTCTTCAGGTTCGAGTATTTGTTTAACTTCGACAGCATGTTTGAGATCCACGATGACATCGAGGTGCTAAAACGTATGGGCATGGCCTGCGGCTTGGAGGTGGGAAAGTGTTCTCCAGAGGATCTGAAAATCGCACGTAGCCTGGTGCCCAAAGCTCTGGAGCCTTATGTTATAGGTAAGTGACCAATATCCCTACGAGTTCGGCCCCCCTAGCCCCCCTTAGAAATTACGCCCCTGGTTCTTGGTGCAGTTGTGAACACAGTAATCACACTTGGATGGGGACCAAACAATTGGACCGAGACCCTTTGGACCAGCGGTCTCCGAGTCATTTGGTACCGGGACGCAAGAGTTGAGGCTCAGCTGGGAAATTTATGGTTTTCAGAGTTTTTATTGGTTTCTATCATTTCCTTTTTTTTTCTTTTCTTTTTTTTTTTTAAATCGTTTTTATCGTTAACTCGGTTTCCCTGGGTCTTTTCCCCTGTGGTGCAAAAAAGGTTGGGGATCGCAGCTTTGGAGGACAGGGTCTTGGGCCACTTTATAAAAAAAAACAAAAAAAACCTCCAGTGCGGCTTATGGTATGATGATCTGACCTGACTACCAGGTCTGCATTTTCTGAAAATGAGTGGGGAAAAAAAGCTACACGTTTACAAACTCGTCAACTCGGTCTAGAGTGAGAGGTGAGAAAAACACCCTTAGACAGAAACTGCTTCAAAGGGTTCAACGTCAAAGGGTTAGTCTTCATCTGCAGTTAAAGTAGGCAAGAATCTGATTGTGCTTTCTGAATCCCTTTGTTCTATATCTCTTATCCCCACTCAGGTCTGTAAATAGTCGAAGGTCTTCATTCTAATTCATTTTCTCTTTATCCAGAAATGGCCAAAGGTCCCATCAGTAACGTCTACATCACTGGAGGTTCCTCTGCTAATGGAGCCCGTTACCCTGCAAACAGGTAAGAGTTGCTAAATGTGATGTAGCTATAATGTGCACACTGCTTTTTCTAACATTTCCCCATCCTCTTATGCAGTGATGGCTGCACTGATGGCACCATGGCGTCCAGCTCAAACGATTCTCACTACAGCGGGTCTCGTGTGGAGACTCCAGTGTCTTACATGGGGGATGACGACGATGAGGATGAGTACGATGAGAATGACGATGAAGACTAACCTCCCTACACCTTGCCACTCCAACAAGCACAGTCTTCAAAACCACCCTCACCGTGGGAATTTAGTCCACTGTCGTGTGTGCTTTTTTTTTTTTTTCCCCAAAAAAACTCCCCTCCGCCCTGTTTCCCTGTATTTCTGTCTGGCTTTCTCAGGGGTGTCGATGAAAATTAAAAGAACAGAGGTGTTTGCACCCACCTTTTTCTGCTCCTGAATCACCTGCACCACAGCTCAGTGGGAGGTGTCGTCCAAGGGAACTGTAGTCTTTGTCCCTGCCACCTGAAGTCTTTATATGTCTAATCCACTTCTTAATAAGCCATCCCACTAAAAAGCAACTCTAAGGCCTACTGCTGTTGGAGAATGTATAATGTACCCGTTTGACTTATAATAATTTTTTTTCTGCAGTTGCATATGGCAGACATGATCAAAATGTTCCAAGGTGGCCAAAGTGTCTGCTGTGAGATGTGTTGTTAGTGCAACACCATGGATTCGGAATGGCTTAACACAGATGCCACTGCATCACAGGATGGGGCTCCATCACATCTCGTCATACTTTGTTTGTTTTGTTTTGGTTTTGTGTTGTGGGCAATTTGAAATGGTTTCCCGATTGTTTTTGGGCTGGCTTCCTTCTGTTCCGTAGGCAGCTGCTTTCCTGATCTTCTTTGCTAGTTTTATTTGTATTCCAGAGTTGAGGAATTCTCCATCACCACCCTGTTAATGCCTTGGTAGTGTTTACAAAATAATGGCAGCAGCGAGGTAAAGACTTTCATAACCCAGGCTCCTAGGTAAATAAGCTTTCTTTGTTAATTACATATATGAATCCTACAACAATTGTAGCTTATAGTTTCCTTTAGAGGCCAGTGGTAAAGATAGACCTACAAAAATTATTGATGTAACAATGTGTGGTTGTATAGGTCTTTATGTACACCCTTCAAAGATCTCCCTTTTAAAACTGAGCAACACGTGTACTGACTCTTCCAAATACCTTTTTCTGTAATCTAATATAAGTTTGCAAATTAAATATAGATTGTTTTAATAAGTTTGTATCCACAATTCATGAGTTTTTCTGGGGGTGGGGTAAGGTTGACTGACTGTTGGGTTGGAAACAAAGTTTACTTAAATAGTAATATGAGAGATGAGCAGAAGGCGCTAGAAACGTCTACCTGGGTCGTTGTCTCAACCCTGTCTATTAAAAGAACTGGGGAAGGAAACTAGCTCGGTTTTTAAAGAAGTTGACTGCTTGTCAAAAGAAAACCACAAGGGACACACTGCTTGGATGCCTGACACTTGGGGAAAAAGATGCCTGACAATGATTATGCTGCTGCAGTGTGATTGGTTCTTACATTATGCTAGTTTGCTTTCTGTCAGCAGTTTTTAATTAGATGTGGCCAAAAACTGTGGATACACTGCAGATACTGGAATATTGGGGAAAAAGCATTTTTTTTTAGCATCTGTTAATTCACTGATAAACTGGAGCCTGTGACTTGTTTAGAGCTGTTGAGTTCTTTTAATCCAGAAATGCTGGAAGACTAACAGTTTATCTAATTTTGGCTCTGGAATCCACCATAAAAAATACAAAATAACACACAGATGCGGTTGGAGGGAGTTTGCTTAAATTTAATTAAACTGTTAAAATTACACCAATTTTATACATGGGCCCCAATTAAATTAGACAACTTCAAATAAAATAAAAAAATACGAATGACTGAAATCCATAAAACTATGGATATTACAAAGAATGAGTTTTGCCATTTTTTATGTCTTGCCCAACCTCCTCCGATTGTTTGTTCGTGGGTTTTTCTATCTAATTTGGTTGGTTTGTCATTGCTTAACTTTCCACTTTACCTTTGTCCAAACACATTTGGGTTGCTCTTGCATTAACGTTTAATTCACTGGTTTAAGCTTTGCTGCGTTTGGCTGAAGACAGTAAAGCTCTGTACGATTCAGAATTCATCTTGCTGCTTCTGTGTTTTGTCACATCATCAATAAACAGTCGTGAAACCAGTTCCAGTGGAAGCATGCATGTCCATACGTTACACTGCCTCCGTTGTGTTTGGATTATGTAGTATGCTTCGATTCACAAGCTGTCCCACGCCTCGTCAATCCTGTTTTTTTTCTCCCTCCCATCATTCTGTTACAGCTGCTGTTGTAACTGTCCAACAGTGCTGTTCCTCAGTATGATTTGGGTCAGTTGTCCATCCACAGTTCACAAGAATCACTACTTCTCCTACAGTGCTAGTTAGATTTTACTTGTGCACTGCTATCACCCAGTGGGTCTTTAACCTGTTCTCATGATCATATTCATAATGGATTGTGAGCCAGATTAGGCGCTACTTTGATGTTCTTGTTGTAGATGGTTTTGGTCAAGTCTGTATGTTCTTTCATGGGCTCTTTATGGTAGACATGGACCATTCCTTTGACTGGATAGGTGGTGTTTGTCTTTACCATGGAAAGGATCCTGTGATCATCCCCTTCTATTTTTATTCTGTTTACTAAGCATTTTCACTAGTGCGTTTTGTGTTGTTTTTTGCTGTCAAAGAGTGGCCTGTTTAATTTGCATTGAGGGCTCATTTGATCATATAGAATTTGAAAGCTGCCATTTCCAGCAGCAGCTTCCAAAAGTGCTATACTTGAACGCGATGCCTTTACCTGCTTGATTTATGACAAAATGACAGGATTAGACGGGAGGATCTCATAAATTGCCGACAACAAGAAAAAGCGAATTCCTTCCATCCATAATGGAACCTGTGGGACTGAACACACTGTTCTTGCAACCTGAACTAGATATATCGCCATTCAAAGTTAAGGATGCTCCTCAGAAGTGTCTTATTTATGTAGGGCCTGCTTTAAACAGTGTTTCTTTGTTGACTCGTGGCTAATGGAGTAATCTCAAAGACTTCTCTTGGCCTTACATTTAGTATTTAGCCATATTTTCCATTTTAAATGCAATATTTTGAAACTTTTAATTTTTTCCCCTATGCTGCCAAACCCTATTGGCTGTTAAAAACATCCCAGTGTATTTCAGCATTTGGTAGGCCTTTTGGGTTATCTCAAATATTATTCCTCATTCAAACTGGAGCTTTAATGTGAAGCAGAGTGCTGCTTATAGGCTGTATGAACTGCTAACTGGTTTGCCAGTTGACTGGTGATATCCTGCATATATGCTGCTTGTGTTGTTCTGTTCCAGCATGTGCTCGCACACTTTGTCTGGGGCATTGGGGTGTTAATGGATTACTGAAAGGTGTTGACTCAGGTGTGTGTGTGTGTGTGTGTGTATATGTGTGTGTGAGTGAGGGTGGTACAGTGCTCAAAGTGTGCTGGGATCTAGTTCAGTCACCAGTCTCGAGTTCCCGTTTGTCTCTCATGCTCCCTCTGCCACTCCGCTGTGATCTGTCTCCTGTTCTCTCAGTCTTGCTTCAGCCTGTCCTCTTTTTCTTCCTCACCCCTGCGCGTTAGTTGGCAACATTTACCGTTCACTGCCTTTCTCTCTTTGCGATGTCTTCTTTTTGCATTGCTTAACAGTCGCTTACCCTCAACATGGATATCGGAGGACTCACAACCGTGGTAGCAAATTCTGCTTACATCAATGCTCGTGGAAGCATCGATGGCTCTAATCCAGCAGCAGCTCGGGATAAAAAGTACCACTCTCGCCTCAAATTGCCCCACATCACTGTGTGCGAGGGCCTGAAGGACACCCTAGATTTATCCTTTGACTCAGTCTGTGTTGAACAGCCAATTGGCAAACGTCTCTTTAGGGAATTCTTGGACGCAAACAAAGAGTATCACGGGGCATGTCGCTTGTGGAAAGACATCGAGGACTATGACCTGGCAGAGGACTCTGAAAGGGCAAAAAAAGCTTCGAAGTTAGTTCAGCGTTACATGGACCCCTCTGCCAAACACTTCTGCCCGTTCCTCAGTGAGGACATCATAACGAAGGTGAAAGAATCCCTCGAGGCTGTAGGTGATGATTTGTTTTCTGCAGCGCTGGCCAAGACTTTGGACTATCTGCGCGAGGCCCCCTACACTTTCTTCCTGGAGAGCATGTACCTGAAAAGGTTCCTGCAGTGGAAATGGCTGGAGATGCAGCCCATGGATGAAGACTGGTTCCTCGATTTCCGTGTGCTGGGGAAAGGTGGGTTTGGAGAGGTGTCTGCCTGTCAGATGAAAGCCACGGGAAAACTGTACGCCTGTAAGAAACTCAACAAGAAGAGGCTGAAGAAGAGGAAAGGCTACGAGGTGAGAGAATAAATGTAATTTGCTCGATGCTCATTTACTGAACATGCCTTTGGCTTTTTGCCTCCCCCAGTGGTGGAAAAAAAACCATTTTAAATGGGGGCAAAATCACAGCATCGAAATACTTTGTGAGAAAAAATTCATCAACAACGTAGAAGATCTCATCAGGCAGAGTATTTCCTCTTAACAGGATTATAATTATTCATACATTTAGATAATAACATGGCTTTTATAATGCAGCTCCTTTCTGGGGATATTTTAACTACTTCACCCTGAGTAACTGCCACGACTAACACCAACACACTGACATAATCATGCATAATTCATCTGTTCATTCTTTTTTGTATTATCTGAAGTAGAAGTTACTGCAAACTACTAGTAAACAAGGTAAAACAAACAAAACATACTGCAGATCCAAATGAGCTTTTGCAGATTTATAATATCTCAGTTTCAGCTGGATGGTAATAAATATATTTAAAAATGAAATGGCTTTCTCTCCATGTAATGAGATGTGGAAGCTCTAAGGGAGAAATTTTATAACAACCTAAAAGTAGAATTAGTTTTGACCGTATGCAATTATTTATTTTATCACTGTGTAATGAGTGGCATCCTTTGGATTTATACTTTAGAGCAAGTGCCTTCCACTGAGCAGGGCTGCAATGGTGCTAATCATCTTTGTCCCTGCCTCTGTCTCATTTGGCTTTAGCCTGCAGTATTAAACACTGAGACAGGGATAGAGTGATTACTGGGAGCTTTATGGAAAAGCTCTTCTGAAGGGAACTCCTTGGCCCTGTTGCATTTTGCCCTTGACTTGTCCGAGGTCATTCTCTGAAGTGTATACCTGAACCTCTCCTCCAAATGGCACACACAATGAGACAAACATTACAGTTTGGTTCAACCTGAGCAACGAAACATCCATTGTTATTCTTAATTTAAAAGATGGCATGTGAGCATTTTTCAAAGTTCTCTTCCCATTTTTTTTCCTGTAGGGGGCGTTGGTGGAGAAATGTATTCTTGAGAAGGTTCACAGTCGCTTCATTGTGTCGCTGGCATATGCCTTTCAGACAAAGGAGGAGCTTTGTCTGGTCATGACCATCATGAATGGAGGAGATCTCAAGTAACTTTGTTTTGAAGCATGAACATCTAGCTGTAGCACACACTCCTTAACCCTTATTAGCATGTTGTTGCTTTAGTTGCAGCCTAAACTTCTATAATCTTTAAGTATCTCCTTTGCCAGCGAAGCAAAGGTTATTACAGAGATGTTGAAGTCAGCTGTAATGTGCTGGAAATGACAGTCACCCAGATATCTGCAGACTTAGTGCAACAAGTGCAGAGTCAGATTATGCACAATTTAAGCTAAAATATAAAGTATTTGCCTTTTTAGCTCAGATTACTTAGAAAGCAAGACAATAGATTTTTTCTCATTTAAAGCAAACATCCTTTAATCCTAGAAAATCAAATTTGAATGCTTACAGTCTGCACACGTAGAACCAGCAGCGTATGGGCATGCTTAAAATGTAAAATACTCCAAATGTGTGCATATTGAAGGCTTTTAATAATTAGTCTTGGCTTATCTGTTCCCTGTAGGTACCATATTTACCTGGTGGATGAAAACAACCCAGGGTTTGATGAGCCTCGAGCCTGTTTTTACATTGCCCAGATCATCCAGGGCTTGGAGCACCTCCACCAGAAAAGAATCATCTACCGAGATCTCAAACCAGAAAATGTGCTGCTTGATAATGACGGTAATACATTATAATCAAATTTTTGGAGAATAATATGATTATGAGCTAATAATATATGTTTTTTAATCACAACAGGGAATGTACGTATATCTGACTTGGGTCTTGCTGTGGAACTAAAAGAAGGCAAAACCATGACAAAAGGCTATGCTGGGACTCCAGGTGGGTCTCATCTGCACCCACTGAGAAATCTGTATGCAGGTTCACGTTTAAGGGTAATCTTACAGGTTTAATTTTTAATTGTAGCTCATCTTGTCGTTGTTTTTATTTTTAATTTTTTGCAGGTTACATGGCACCAGAGATGCTAAAGGGAGAAAAGTACGACTCCTCCGTTGACTACTTCACTCTTGGAGTGACTTTATATGAGTTCATGGCTGCTAAGAATCCATTCAGAAACAGAGGAGAGAAGGTGAGAGTCTAAACTACAGGTGGTACTTTCTGTGCAAAGAAAGCAGACAGAGGAAAGAAGACGTTTAGAAGCTGTTGATCTTCTTCTCAGGTGGAACGTGAGGAGATGAAAGAGCGTATGCTAACTCGGGTGGTGACCTACACTGACCGCTTCAGTGAGCATGCAAAGTCGTTGTGTGATGGGCTGCTGGCCAAGGAGGTGGATCAGAGGATGGGTTTTAAGAATGGATGCTGTGACGAAATCAGAGCACATCCATTTTTCAGCGGCATTAACTGGAGGAAACTGAACGCAGGTAACCTTTCGATATTTGCTCAAGATCTTTTTGATTTAGGAAAAAGTTTGAAGCCACTAACCATTTAATGTGGCTCTTAATTAAAATTTGTCACTTTATTTCAGGAATTCTACCTCCTCCTTTTGTCCCTGACCCCAAAGTGGTGTATGCTAAAAGTCTGGATGACGTCGGGGCATTCTCCTCTGTGAAGGGGGTGACATTGGAAGATCCTGATAAGAACTTTTTTGATGAGTTCTCCACGGGCAACATCTCCATTCCTTGGCAAGAGGAGATGATCGACATGGGAATTTACGGAGAGCTCAACGTTTGGGGCCCTGAAGGCACCATCCCCAACGATCTCCGCAGGGAGTCCATACTAGAGCAGCCAAAGTCATCGACGTGTTGCTTATCTTAGAGTCAATAACATGCGTGAACTGCACAGACTTTCGTTTCTTTAGAGCATGCGGCATGAAGACACCATGAGAGACACCAGTCGGTTCTGAACTTTGTGATCGCACACTGAAACAGTTTGCAGGTTTTATGTCGACATGGGAACAGCAAGAATAGACTGGAGGCGGACTTCCAGCCTGAAATGAACTTGATCATAGATTTAGGTGTTGAAAAATTCCAAATTGCTGACATCTGTCATCTATTGTCCCTTCAGTCTTCTGCTCCTCATCTCCTTTCACCATCAACCTGCTCACTTACTTTTCTTTATATGTATATGTGATGAATTATTGTAAAGCTTTTAGATTTAAAATGCATTAAAACGAAAAAAAAAAAAATTCCCATTTTGGAGCCAGGGTTTAGTAATGTGTTATCTTTGGTGCTAAGTGACAGTCACATGTTGACCATGTAAGAGCTGCATATCTGCTCCTGTAGGGTTCATGCTACTTTAATAGAAGGTGTTTTTTTTTTCTTAGTGTTTAATACATACTAAATGCTAACACATCAGAGATGCAAAGTCTCGTGCCTGTGGAACTCTTTTTCTTAAAGGGTTTATTTCATGGGTTTTGATGACTTTCAATGGTTTTATGACTATTCCAGCGCAGAGTCACTTTGATAAGTTTATATGTAGTCTAGATAGTGTGAGACAAATATGAGTATAGGATGAATGTTTACGGTAAAATTATTTATTTTCAAAAACTGTCGGACTGAAGTTGAAATATCAAATATTTGGGACAAAACACCCCAAATCTGGCAAATAAAATAGCTTATTGAAACTTGAGTCAGGAACTTCATTTCTGCTTAATGATGGTTATAGCACTGTCCAGGAATGTAAACACAGATCACAACCAGGCGTGGAATATCTTTCATAACCTTTGACATCACTGGAAGCTCCCACTCCTAAAGCCTCCTTGTCACTCCTTTGCCATGGCTTTATAAATCCTGATCTCCTGCTGCGGCAGCTCGGTCAGCAACGTGGTGTTAAAATGGCTCTTAAAGCACTCTGTGAACCTCAGGTCTGACTGGAACCGGATCTTGTTGGCCCACAGCAGAGTTGTTTGACTTCCTGGTGGGCAAAAGTGACGCATAGTTTTCAACAGTTCTTCAAGGCAGTCGTGGTGATAGACCACATCAGCTGCGAGCACGAAGTCGTAGTGGTATGATGCATAGGGGAAGTCTCGATCCAGGTCCTGACCCCAGGAGAGAGCAACCACTTGAGGGGTGTAGCGGCAGCGGCCTCTGGTGTTTCGCAGCAGGTTGAAGGTCAGATTAGATAATATGTCTGGCAGATCTGTTGCCGTCACCCAAGCACCTGGTAAAAAGTGGTTTGAAACCCAAAACAACAGAGACATCAAAACATAATGATTATTTTTTTAAATTTTGTAATTATTGTGCATTTTGTTATGGAAGCTTGTTTCCACCTCTAAAAAAAGAATACTATTCCTAACTGGCAGAGTCAAAATTTCAGGTTATTTTCTCAATTTGGTAAATATATTGACTTTTTTTTTTTTTTTTTTTTTTTTTTAGATAAAAGCAACAATTTTTAACTTGTGGATAACAAAAAACTAAACTAAATATAAACTTACAGGCTGCTTTGAGTTTCTCACTAATTATAGTTTCTGCTGAACCAGTAGCAAAATGATTTACTCTAATTGTAAGGAATTTTGGTGATCAAACTGAAGTTGCATCGTTTTTGTTTTATTTATTTATTGTTTTCAAGTTTTTTACTTTAAATTCAATCATTTTATTTTAATGGGAATAAATAAAACCTTTGTTTCCACTCTGGGCTTAATGGAGGGGCTTATGGATAACAGCATCAATCCAGTGATCACTGTATCCATAATATATCTAAGCTACAACCCCTCTGTTGTATACAGTACAGGAGAACTATGTGGGTGGATGGTCGTTGAGCTTTAACAATGAATTCCAGTGTTTTTAGTTGCGTCACAACTTTTCCCTCGAGTTCCATCACCAAGCTGAAATGTAACTTTTGCATAAAAGCAGAAATATGAAATATTCAGTGCACACATTATGCATGAGTGGGAATTAACCCTTTATGGATTTTTCTTTGTCTTAAAGCCAAGAATATCACCACTTAGCTAAGTCCTAAGTAACAAATATAAACTAGTGTATTGCCAGTTTATTAGGATGCGTCATTTATTCTTAAATTAATGTGTTTACCACCATCAAATCTAAAAGATTAAAGGTAAAGTTTCATACATGCAGCACATATGCACAACTGCATTATCAAAATGCACTTACCAAGCAGACTTGCTACAATAGAAGCTAAGCCAGTCCCGGCTCCAATCTCAAGTACTGCTTTGTCCATCAGGTTCACTTGTTGCTGGTTGTTCTCCAAGAACTGGCACAAAGCTATTGCCTACAAAAATAAAATTCTTGTCACATTTACAACACATTTTCAATATGAGCCAATGCCATGCCCACGGCAGCCCCTTACCCCAGGCCAGATCAGAGCACCGTACGTATCCATGGACTCTCGGATGCTGATGTCATGACCGGCAAAATGAAAAGACTCGTTTCCCCGAGCGTAATAAACACTCGGCTCCCAGAGGTTCCTCCTGCTCAGAGCCTCTTTTGCCATCACCCTCTGGTCTGTCAGTACTGCATGAGCAGAGCGTGACATGAAGAGACAGGTTATACTAACAAATTAGCAAAGTTCAGTTAAAAAAACGAATTATACTTGTCTGACATGCAAAACCTAGACTTGTACATAAGAGATACAGTTTGAATATACCTTTAATTGCAGTTCCCTCCTCCTCCACCTCCTTATCATCTTCCTTTTTCTTTCCAGGAGGCTTCTGTCTTACTGGCTGGGTGAGTGCAGATGATCTCTCCATAAGCATCTTAAATTAAAGTTCCCATCATGGGTCAAAGGTAAGAAAAAGAAAAAAACAAACAAACAACAAAATTATTATTATTATCATTTTTTTTAAAAGGCCCCTTTATGTAACGATTGTTCATTTGAATCTCAGTAAAAGTTGGAATGGATTCAGAGTGGACTGGATTTAGTCCGCTAGTCTCTTTGGCTGCCACTGGACTGCGAACTGGAGCCCAGAAACACAGCTGGTTAAATCCTGAGGTCAACAAGCCACAGTCATGGATACAGAGCACACGGTGTTTACCTCAGATGAAAAGCACACTCAGATAAATTCCAGTGCAAAGACTAAAGTTACATTTATACAACTTTCATTAAAGTCATTTTAAGAATTTTCAAATGAAATATATTCTTAATAAAATATATAGTTTGCAAGAAGATGTGAAACCTACCAGTAGGAAGTATGCCCCGTGTGTTTTCTTGTTGTGTGTCTGCACTTGCCTCTGTGTGCTCTGAGTTTATACACACAGCATCGTCTGTGACACACCCCTGAGTGAAGCTGGGGTCTGCTAACATAGTTCCCCCCTCCCAGCAGACTTTATTATATACGCTTTTATAGAATTGCATCCTGTTATCCTGTTTCAGCACTAAGATTTACTGCAGTGAGCTACTTGTTTATTCTCTCCTGTCATCATTAATGCATCACACATCTGTCTTTAGGTAGGTTACAGGTAAAGCTACGGGGACATGTAAATATTTGAAAACAAAATGTTTTCACAGTGAGCCCAATTTGCATATTCATATCAATCATGACAGGGCTCTCAGCCAAACTGTATGAGGCTTTGCAGAGTGGGTACAACCTGGCATGTCCAAAGATTAGGTTAATGTCTAATGTGCTCAAAGTATAGATCCAGTCTTAGTGTCCAGTCTTAACATTACTTATATGGTTAGCAGTAGTGAGTGAGTTCGTGAGCTCAAAATAGTCGAGCACTTAGTGACAAACGCTACATGTCAGTTTGTGAAATTTCTTCCTAACACTCCTCTGGCATTAACGTCACCACAAACTTGGTGAGCTGGAAACTTCAGGTGCATTCAAGCCTTAAATCACCACCAATGTAAAGCATGTAGCCTGTGAACTCTGGAGCAGTGGAAATGCTCTGTGGACTGTCAAATCCTCTGTCTAGAAGTTCAGTGGATGAGTCTTGGTTTAATGAATCCCAGATGAACTTAACTGTGGTTTTGTGGAGGAGGGATAAGGTTATGGGGCTGTTTTTCTAAGATTTCTTTACTGAAGTATTGTTTTGTAATTACCATTTACTCATTAATCACTAATCTTTCAGGACCATCCAGAATATATATACTGTATATAACAAAAGAAAGAACCAAAAGTTGTCAGTGGCGGGGGATGACGTTAATGTTTCAGCTTATCAGAGCATTTCGGACAATTCTCAGTTTGGGAAAAGCCCCTTCAAAAAGCAAGGTCCTTGAAGGCATGGTTGGAGGAGCCTGGTGTGAAAGAACTTGACTGGCCCACGAAGAGCTCTGACCTCAGTCCCATCAAACACTTTCGGGATGAACAGAGAGAGCCAGGTCCTCTCGTCCAGCACAGGTATCTGACCTCACCAATACTTTTCTGGATGAATGGCAAAAATTGTCACAGAAACACTGGTAACACTGGACTTCTTTAGGACATTTCACCTCTCATGGATTGCCTTCTGTTTTCAAGCTCTTAAGACCACCATGATCTAGATGACTGAAAACCTGCTGCAGAGAGGGGATCAACCAACTGCATGTTCATAGCTGTGGATTTAGAGTAGGATCCCATAAAAGCTCCTGTTGATATAATGTGGAGGTAGCTTTTGTCCTTATATTATGTCATGTGACCAGTTCATTTACTTACATTCACTTTAAATATGAATTCTCTTTATCCTTTAGTCATTCACTTCACTGCTCACTGCCTGCTTGTTGGTTCCCAAGTTTTTGTCAATCGCATAATTTTGCTCTCTTTTACAGTAACTTTGTTGTTGAGAAGCCCGGTTTCTTCTTTCCGTTGCTTCTCCATCAATCAGTCAGTGTGTAAACACTCACTAGTCATCTTTTGGTTCCTACTACACACCTGTGAAGTTTTGTAAATGCACAGTCGGGACTCAAATGGATTCTGTACACGAATGACAGACAGTTAATCACTTGCTCAAGAACTTAGAGCCTCCTTTACTCTGTGGTTCAGAGCAGAGACTCACAGAATGGAGACAGAAACAGCTAGCCCGATGCGTTGATGATAATATGCAGAATAAGCTGCAAGATTCGTTGCTTGAGAAAAAGTAAGAATACAATATAATTTGGTCTCCTAAACAAAATGTCAGAATACTAGGCCATACTTACAAAGCAGTAGGAGTTTCTTGCTTTGCAGATTAGATTAAAAACTTAAAGTATGGATGATTTCT